GGGGCACTGGGAGAGCTGGCACTGGGAGAGCTGGCACTGGGAGAGCTCGGGCACTGAGAGAGTTGGTACACTGGGAGAGCTGGGGCCCTGGGAGAGCTGTCACTGGGAGAGCTGAGGCACTGGAAGGCCTGGAGCATGAGGAGCACTCACGCAGTGTTCTTGCTGGTGATGAGGGTCACCCCGTGACCCGTGACGTCCCAGAGGGGCTTCCTGTGCGTGGTGAAGCACTCTGTGTGTTACTTATCTTCGAATTAATGAAGGCAAGCATATTTTTTAGTAGACATCCATGAGGAGAAGCTTAATTTCATCTTTTTTTAGCTGAACCTAGGAAATTAAAATGGATTACCTAGCCATGGTTGGTTTTGAACATCAGTGTTTTCAGGGCAGATATAGGGGCTGCTGCTCAGAGTCTGGACCAGGCTGGTTGGTCAGACCTGTGCAGCGGACCCCAGTGGCAACAAATACTCGCAGATGAAATTATTCAAAGACCTACCGGTTGTTGAGGAGCGACGTGAAGGTGTTGAGGAGACTCAGGCTGGGTGGCCTTCATATCACGGCTGTGCACGGAGCTGCTTCAGCCCGTGTCGCGCTGTGATGGCAGAGGCTGTGTAGAGCGGATGCCAAGCACATCAAGACGGGGTGGGAACTCTATTCCACAAAGTGGCAGCAGCATCATCTCAGTTCCACAGCGGTGTTCAGCTTGACAGTGAGCAGAGCGGGGAGGGGGTGTCCACATCAGATGAAGAGGGAGTCCGGTGCCTGGTAAACACTTCCTGTGTTTTCAGGGTGAGGGAAACCGATGCGACTAGGTAATCGAGTCATGGGGTGGGACTGCATCACAGCTCGCGGTATCCGAAGCTAGGGAAGAGCCCAGAGCTGGGTCAACACAGCTGGCGGTGGGAAAGAGCTCGGAGCGTGCCTTCTGGACGGTTCCTGTCCAGCACTCACAGGCCCTGGGCGTTGAGGGCGGTATGCTTGAGGCTGTTGAGGAGACAGAGGGGAGTAGGAAGCCGCTTTGAAGAGCTGCGGTGTGGAAGACAAACAGAAAAATTCTATCTAATTTCAGAAGTGAAGTGGAGCGCCTGAGTGGAGAACTTCCGTTTACACTCATGTTGTTCAATCTCGCTTCCTCAGTCTGTGATGGGGTACACAGCTCAGAAAACTCAAACAGGCACTTCCTAAAAATGAGAACTATCTGAACCCCGGCCCTTGGCGTGGTGCAGCAGCAAGCTCTGTAGTTCCAGATCTGCTGGGGCAGGGCCTGGGAGCCATGTGCTGGCCATGACATAGATACCTGTGGTGTAGACTTGACCCATCAGTGTCTGGACGTGGCTTGGGTGTGGGGCAGGGCGCGTTTGTGCCGCGTGCTGTCTGTTCTCGGTCCACACGTGTCCTTATGTGCTGTTTGCATCCTCTGTTCCCCCTGCCTGGTGCCAGTTACTTCTCCGAGACCTTCCTGTCAGGGGGCAACAGCACGTGCACTGCGCCTGTCCTCACTGAGGGGTTGGGACCTGCCGTGGTTTATCCCCAGTGCTTCCTGCCCACCCTCTCCCCAGCTGCCTGTTTCAGCCCGTGAGAATTGACTGAACCACTTCTCCTCAGCAGCACCACAGGGGTAGTTTGAAATTGGCCGTGGGAAAAGTATTTACACCAGGGAAATTAGCAGAGGGGATGAATCAGGGCTTTTCAGAGAGCTGGTTGTTAGCCCTTTACCAGCACACCACCAACCTATGCTGTCTGTAAACCAACTTCTGCCAACCTAGAGTCCAGTTGAGCCGTCGTGTCAAAACACAACCTGTTGCTGACTCAGATGGGCAAGCCATCATTACTTAATTTTTATTCTCATGCACAAGTAACTTTAGAAGGGACTAAACGGTTAAAAAGACCAGGCACAGTGGCTCACGCCTGTAATCCCAGCATTTTGGGAGGCTGAGGCGGGTGGATCACTTGAGGTTGGGAGTTCGAAACCAGCTTGATCAACATGGTGAAACCCCGTCTCTACTGAAAATACAAAAATGAGCTGCGCATGGTGGCACATGCCTGTAGTCCCAGCTTCTTGGGCGACTGAGGCACACAAATCACTTGAACCTGGGAGGCAGAGTTTGCAGTGAGCTGAGATTGTGCCTCTACGCTCCAGCCTGGGAGAGGGTGAGACTCAGTCTCAGGGAAAAAAAAGAAAAGCAATAGCTTGTACACCCTTCAAAACACCATATATTATGATTGTAGCATCTGTGAGTGTATATACATCTAAATGAGCCTTTTATGGAAAAAAAAGTAGGTTGATAATTTATATTATTGTTAGTCCTAGGAACTTTGATGGTGTAATTACTGTGAGGTAAAGTTGAGAATCACCGAAGTAAATAGCGTAAACTCTTTTTCTACTAAAACTGCAAGATCCTGATGGAAAATGTATTTCGTTTAATACATTTCTTATGGTTTTGTTGTACTGAAAATTGTTGTATTTGAATTTTTTTTAACAGATCAGGATCCTCATGACCAACCAAAGAGAAGAAGAATTAGGAAGCATAAATCAAGAAAAAATTTTAAAAATCCCAATAATGTTCTTGTAAAACAAGCAGAATTAGAGAAACAGCAGCATCTTTTACAGGAGAAATCTCAGCGACAGTACACAGATGGCCCCACAATAAGCAAAAATAAAAAAAGGAAACTGAAAAAGAAACAGCAAATTAAAAGGAAGAAAGCAGCCGGCTTGGTAACAAAGGCTGCTGGTATCAATTTCATGTATCAGCCGGAGGAGAACAGCAGTGAAGGGGCAGATGTGGGAGAGGCTAGTGAGGAGGGAGGTGCAGACGCCAGTGAGGAAGACCTGATGCTGGCCAAGGAGGAAGACGTTAAAGACACCAGGGAGGAGGTGGGTGCGGACACTGGGGAGGAGGAAGACGGTGCAGAGGACAGCGAGGAAGCCCCCACACCGGCTGGGGAGGAAGAGGGTCTGGATGCTGGGGAGGAGGATGGTCCAGAGACCAGGGAGGAAGCCCCCACACTGGCTGGGGAGGAAGAGGGTGCAGACACCAGCGAGGAAGCCCCGACACCGGCTGGGGTGGAAGACGTTCAAGACACCGAGGAGGATGGTGTAGACGCCATTGAGGAAGATGATGAAATTACCAATGAAAAGGCAGATAGCATTCTAAATTTTTTGAAGTCGACACAAAAAATGTATTTCTATGATGGTATGTTTTTTACTGGTTTTCTCTTGCATAGTGACATCCACTTAAAAGTTTGTTAAAAGAAGCAAATATAATGCTTAAATGTCAAAACATAGGTTAAAAATATTCAATGTAAATAATTAGTTATAAGGCAAAGATGAGATTCATGTGCTTTCCACCAGTGATGTGGATGGCATATCACATGATGTGCCCTGGCATATCCAAAGAAGTGGCACAGCTGAGGCGGGCTGTGGCACCAAGGGTGGCTGGCCCCGTGTTCTCCGTGTCTCTAAGGTCAGGTTTGGGAGTGTGTTGGCATCCAGGCTATATTTCTAAACAAAAGTAAATCCAGATTGGAGGTTTTGATGAGCTGAGCTCACCTTCATAAGCTGACCGAGAGCTGAAGGAAACACAGCTTGCGCCTTTAGGACAGATTTAATTTTCTCTTCCACATAGAACTGAGGTACGATTTCTCAGCAGGCATTTTTGTGCAGTTGTTTGTATTGATATAAGATGTGGGTAATAACTGTAGGTGTACTGTCATGGATGGCCCTTGCTTGCATTTGCACTACACTTTGCTGACAGCTAACCCAGGGATGCGTGGCTGCCCCAGAACAGAGGTGCTCCCCGTGGACTCTTCCTGGCTTTTTTCTCTTTAATTTTTTTTTATACTTTTTAATTTTTGTGGGTATAGGTGTCTTTTCGATGATGTTACCAGCAGGTTCAGGTTAATGTGGTGGGTTTAGCAGATCCAGATTTAAGCACGGCATTTGATGGTGCTTTTGTGAGCAAGATTGAGAAATATTAGCTATATAATAGTTTGGGACGTAACTAACTGATTTAAACAATGATGCAGAAGTACCATTGTTAACAGAGTGATTTAAACACCAAGAGTACTCTAGCCTCTTCCTCTTTAGCGTGTTTCTCAGCAGATTATATTGACAAATTGAAAACAAGTATCCAAATGGCACATCAGGAACACATGGCTAAGACACTGCTTAGAGGTCAGAGCCAGGACGGGGGGCTCAGGATGCTCACAGGTCAGAGCTGGGGCTGGTGGGTGCAGAGGTCGGAGAATAGAACCCAACACTACATGGCTTCCCTTAGAGCCTTTGCCTAATTCTGAAGCTGTGGGTGGAAGATGAGAAGCCACACAGAAAGCCTCAGAATGACAGGGGCCTCTTGGCCATCTTGAGGTGCTGATCAGATGACAATGGGCCTGACCCTCGAGCCCATCAGAGTAGGGCAGCCCAGAGGCAGACGACGGTGCCCAAATATGTGGCCATCCTGGAGTCAGCTCAGTCCCCACGTGATCCAGGGAATCCACCCCTACTCTCTCTGCCTGGCAGAGCAAAGGGTGCATCTTCTAAAGTATTGTCATCCTAGATATCCGCTGTCTTTCCTACGCATTCAGTAACAATTTACCAGGCATGCCACAAGACAGGACCACAGTACCAAAAACCATTAGAAAGACAGGAGAGTCAGAGTGGGAGATACTGATGTTATCAGACAAGGAGCTTAAGATAAGGGGAAAAAAGACGAAAAACTGGAGCATTTCACAGGTAATTTGAATTTATTAAGATAATCAAATGGAAATTTTAGGCCTGAGAAACATCGTAACTAAAATTCAGGCCTCAAAATACAGGTAAAAAGCAAATGAGAGTTGGCATAAAAGAGAATTAGTGACTGGGAAGACAGGTCAAAGAAAGTCTCTAGAAGGCAGGGTGGAGAGAAGAGGATGGGAAAGAGCCCAGCAGACACGCAGGAAGCGGTCCAGCATCCCTGAAACAGGCCCAGGTGGAGAGGAGAGAGGACAGTTGGGAGTTTTACACAATTGTTAAGGGACACAGAGTCAAACACTGAAGACATCCTGCCAACTCCAAGCAGGGTTAATGCCAGAACCACCACAGGTGAACACATTGCGGTCAAACTGCCGAGCAGCAGCCAGAGAAACAGGACCAGCAGCCGGACAGAGGCTGCCCTTTCGATGGAGCAGTGGCAGTCGGGGGCTTGTTTTCCATTTTTCTTGGTATCTCCTAAACAGGCACAGTCTGATTCTTTTTAAGCTATGTGACATGGACGTGGAGAGCCTGATGTTGTTGTCTGGTTGGTCCTGCTGCTGTTCATGACATTGAGTCGAGTGTGGGACAGGGAAGGCATTTCACCAGACAGACATGTAGACAGGCCAGGCTTCCACAGTCGTTTGTGCAGTGCTGCTTTTCCTCATTGACTTTTCAGAGCTGTGTTCTGATTCTCTCTTCTGATAGCTTCTTATCTCCCAGACATCTCATTCTATGTGGAAGTGTAGGTTTGAGGCTTTACTTAAGAAAGTAAAGCTTATCTTTAGTTTATAGAAATAAAAACAAAACTCTATTTCCAAGCAAAACTGACTTTATGTAGGTGTCTCCAGAGATGCAGCTTCAGCCGTCCTTGCGGGTGCTGCCGAGGAGCTGCTGGGGTGTCTTGCGTCACACACCATGCCGCCCTCAGACGTGTCCGTCCTGCACCACATGAAAACGCTGCTGCTTCTGCAAGATACGGAGAGCCTGAAGCGTGCCCTGGCAGCGTTCCCAGAACATTGCCTGATGCCTCCTGGTAAGTACCGCACGATTTATCCAAGGTCCTGCCCAAGATACTCTCATTGAGTCTTGCCTCTAAAAGACTCACCCACCACCAAAACAGCAACGAGTTGGAAAATGTGACACCGCACATATGGCGCAGAAGAATAGAGTCCCACAGAGAAACAGGCTTCCCGCATCTCTGCTTGATATAAAAATACTTCACATAACATACGCAGAAATGCATGTGCAGTCTAATTTTCCAGACTTGGGAGCTACCAACTCTTAGAGCCACATTTTCCTAAGTTTAAATAGAAGTGAGTTCATTTCTCCCTCTTTTCCTTCTCTACTGGTGTGGCAGGTGGTGGATTTTGCTGTCCTCCAGCTGTCTTGTACCATACTACACTCCTGGGGTGGTGGTGGTGACTTATTTTCTGCAGCCTTCACTGGGCATCCTCTTCATGCAAACTGTTGTGTGCTGGAGCAGCCAAGCTTGTGTCTTCCCAGTGCCGTGTGCAGTGACACGAGCTGTGGTGAGGGTATTCAGGCCACAGAAACCTGCAAATGCCGAAACTCAGAAATCCAGGCTGTTTTCTGAGAGCCATTCGCCTGCACACCACTGAGTGCAGCAAAGCACACCTGGCAAAGGGTGGCGCCGGGACCCGCCCAAGAGACAGAGTGACGGAGACTCTTCCAGATGTCGTGGAGGGAGTTTCAAAGTCTGTCAGGCGCTGTTCCTGTCCTTAGAAACACACAGGGTTGCGGAGGGGTCACGACCAGCATATTAGAAAAGCAGTGAACGAACAGAGTTACGTAATCATGGTGTGATGATGCCGTGGCACAGCACAGGGAGCAGGGGGCTGCTGGGACCGTGACGCGGAAGCGGGGCCCAGGGGCGACAGTGGAGGAGGGAGGCCATGCTCCTTGAGGACACGCCTGTGTGTGAGGGAGGGGCGGGCCGCGGACATTCTCTCTCTGTTCCTAGTTGGTTGTCAGGCCTCTTACAGCAAGTACTTAACAAACATAGATTTCCACAGTAAGGTTTATCTCAAGCCGCAAAAAGCCAATTTTATTAAACTGATAGGAGGTCTTTATGAGACATGAAAGTAAGCCATTTTAAATTTTTGTTCTGTTTCTCACACTTCAGGCTTTTCTGGAATTCACCAGAAGAGTTTTGGCAGCTGTGGTGAATTTAGCAGAACCCTCAATATTAAAATAACTTGTTTCTTATATTAAAATCATCAGACAGGTTTGTGTACATCACATTTTGTTAAGCCACTGATAGAACTAAACTGTGCATGTAACCTGTTTTCTGTAAGAAAGGATTTTTTTGCTTAAAGTTTTCTATGTCAAGCTATTTTATGAAATAAAATTTTATAAACAATGAAGCTTCGTTTTCACACACTGCATTTGTTGAATGCAGACTTGGCCTGTAGGAGTCTTGAAGTTAAGGGTTTTTTCCATAAAACTAGCTTAGGAGATTAGTCACTGTGTCTCTCACCTCTACGGGATGAGCACATAGGCCTTCACATTTCAAAAGCAGCTTTGGCTGTTTCCTGGTGGTTGCGTCTCCTCTCCCTCCTCTCTGGTGTAGCAGTTACTTGTCCTCAGTCGTTGGGGCTGCATTCAGCTGGGATGCCAGTATTGGGGCAGAGCTCTCACGTACGTGAGGTTTTATTCCACATGCTCTTCATCGGTGGTAGCTCACATGTACATGAGGTTTTATTACACACACTCCTCATCAGTGGTAGCTCACATGTATATGACGTCTTACTACACACACTCCTCATTGGTGATAGCACACTTGGACTTGAGGTCTTATTCCACACGCTCCTCATCGGGGGTAGCTCTCATGCATATGTGACGTTTTATTACACACTTCATCGGGGGTAGCTTGCGTACGTGATGTTTTAATGCACACATTCTTCAGTGGTAGCTCATGCATATGTGACGTTTTATTAGACACGCTCCTCATCAGTGGTAGCCTCCACTCCTTGAGTGTTTCTTACACGCACACTGGGAAGTGGGGATTTCTGAATCCTCCTCTAACCCTCTGTGTGGGAATTATATTTTTATTATCCTGACTTTTGGGGCTTTCAGAGCTCAGGCAACTTGACCTGGGTGGGATGGAGCCAGCTTGGGGGAAGCGTGGATGGGGCTTCCGTGGCCTGTCCTTGGCTCTCTGTGGTTGGAAACTTTAGAGTAGTAGATTCTAGGTGCAGCGTTCAGGACCCTGACAAGTGATAAAACTTGGGGTGAGTCTTCACTGGCAGCCAGTGTCTACCTGTGAGGCCCCTAGGGTTGGTGGTGACGTCACGACGCTTTTGGCCTCATGGCTTGGGCGCCGCACAGCCCTGTGGTGTCTTACTGAGGGTTCCACTTTTGGCTTTTTTCTAGCTGTTCTCCCTTGACATAAACATCTATGTCCTTTGCATTTCAATTTGTACGTGGTTTTCTTTCAGGTCTGATTTTAAGCCTATAACATTGCACGCTGATGTTTTGAAGTTCAAGTGTAATAGGACCAGTGAACCCAGGGTTCATACCCAAGTGAAATGCGCATATTCAGAATCGGGCCGCTGTTTTGCCATGCCAGTGATATAATGCGTGGTTAACAGTGTAACCTGTCACGGTCAACATCAGTTCTATGCCGGAGCTGCATTTCATTAGATCATTTCAGAGTTCACTTTGGACCCAGAGGCTCATGTCTATGTAACTTATGATTTTTTGGTTCTTTGCTTTATTTTTTGTTTTCTTTCTGTTTTTTACTTTCCAGACCATGCCAGAGTAATCTCAGCTTTCTTCAGTTACTGGATCACACATATCCTTCCTGAGAAGAGCAGTGAGTGAAATGGAATATCTCTTTAAGAAGAGCTCATCTTTAACAAAAAAAAACCATAAAAGACAAATGTGAAATGGGCTGAGAGTGAGTTCTCTGGGAACTTGGAAGATGTTTCTGCCACATTATTTATTCATGTGTTTGTTCCTGATGGGTGAGACGCCATCTGAGGCTTCAGATGACAAATTGGGGTAAAATGGAAATTTTTCACTTATTTGCAGTTATATATGTCTTGAATTACTACATAAAACTTGATTCCGTTTTTCTAATTATTATAAAAGTTGAAAATGGACATTCTGTTAAGTTAGACTGTGTAGTTTGAAGCTCATATACTTTTATAAGTTTTGAATCACCTTGTATCTGAAACTGTCTGTTTTAAGAATGTTTTCTGGGTATTAAAAGGTTCTAGTTTAAGTAGTTTGATTATAGTTGAATTTCCTTTTTTCTCTACTCTGTGAATCATATCAAGAACCGATTTTTCCTGTTTTGACTTTCTTTTTTGTCATAAAAGCAGTGATCAGTTCTTAGTATTACTAAGTTTGAAAAGCCTGAATTAGTACAACATTTTAAGAGGGCAATGGCTCTATGAAAAAATTTTTATTATCGTAAAACATACGTAACATACGGCTTCATCTTAGTCATTTTTAGGTGCATGCTTCAAGGCATCATGTGCATTTGCTGTGCTGTGCAGGGCCCACCATGCTTGTCCTGTTTGTGGTGAGAACATGCCCCTGTGCCTTCCAGGACCCACAGGTGGCCTGTCCCGCCTTTGAGCACTGTGTCCCAGATGCTGTGTAGTGCCCGTCTCCCTCCCTGTCCCACTGTGAGTATTCGTGTCCCAGATGCTGTGTGGTGCCCATCTCCCACCCTGTCCCACTGTGAGAATCTGTGTCCCAGATGCTGTGTGGTGCCTGTCTCCCTCCCTGCCCCACTGTGAGTATCCGTGTCCCAGATGCTGTGTGGGTGCCCGTCTCCCTCCCTGTCCCACTGTGAGTGTCCGTGTCCCAGATGCTGTGTGGGTGCCCGTCTCCCTCCCTGTCCCACTGTGAGTATCCGTGTCCCAGATGCTGTGTGGTGCCCGTCTCCCTCCTTGTCCCACTGTGAGTATCCGTGTCCCAGATGCTGTGTGGGTGCCCGTCTCCCTCCCTGTCCCACTCTGAGTATCCGTGTCCCAGATGCTGTGTGGGTGCCCGTCTCCCTCCCTGTCCCACCTGCGAACACCATGTCCCAGATGCTATGTGGATGTTCATCTCCCTTCCTCTCAGGAGCGGTACTGCAAGGTCGCCTGGTGATGGCGACATTCTGTGGGGCAGCCAGGCAGGCTGCTGGGCTCCCCACGACCTCCATGCTGGTCACTCCTCACTTTCCTGATCAGGGCCATTCTGATGGGGGAGGTGTCTGCTCAGGGGTGCTGCCTACTTCCATCTGTCTTTGGAGAGTGCCTGCCGAAAGCTGATGCTCGGGTGGGCAGTGTGGAAGGAGGCGAAAGAAGCCCTGGCGTCCCTCCCAGCCCCCATCCTGCCAGTTCCCTCCAGGTCCCTAAGAATTGTCTCTTCCACAAGCGGGAACCTTCTGGAAGCAGGTGAAGCAGGGATATTTGGCTCTGGGAACTGTCCCCTTGGACCTGTTGGCTGTGCAGTGTCCCAGGCCTGACACAGGCTGCTGGAGCACAGGCGCATGGCAGCAGCTGTCACTCTTCACAGCGTCACCCGAGCACAGGATGCAGCATGCTCCAGACGGGGCTCCCAGGAGGTCACACTCGATGCAGGAGCCTCAGGGGACCTGTGGTCATCTATGGGGAGTCCTGCCCAGACCTCTCTTCCCTTAACTCAGGAGGCATCTGGAGGCATCGGAGTGGCTGGGAGCCCCTCGTCCCGCAGGAGGAATGCACGCTGCTGCGGCAGCGCCCACGCCAGACTCCTGCCTCCACCGAGAACCCCCATGGCCCCATGGAACCTGGGCTCCCAGAGGCACCAGCCTACAAACTTGCCATTTAAATACTTCTGAATTAGAAGCATGTGCTTTGCAAATATGAACAAAAATTAAATATTGGCAGAGTCTTAATTTTCGTATTCTTAACGTCCAATTTGTGTCTTTCAGTTATGGAGCATCTCCACCTTCTCCATGCTCTGAACGTGAGTACACAATAGGCTGGGCGGGACGGTGGGCGATGTGCAGACCTTTTCCTGGGTTCCACCAAATCCCTGTAGACTCGCTTTGTGCTTCGGTGATCCGCCATGGTTTTACTTTGTGAAACCTTCTGCATTCATTTTCTGGAGGCTGAGAATAGTGAGAATGGGGTACATTCGAGCAATGGGGTGTTCAGGTTTAATTTGTTTTGTGTATCATTCTGACCCCAAAAAGAAAAAGGCATCTTCTACAAAAGCAAATAAATCTTGTCTCTAATATGTCAGCATAGATAAGATAATCTGTTTATTCCACTGTGTTTGAAGTTGGATAATAATTAGATCAATTTATCTTCTACAATAGTGCAAAATACTCAGTTCATGTAATTTGTTTTCTGTAAACCATGTCAATTAAGACAGGCAGAGAAGGAAGCACTAGGGAGCATAAGGAATTGTCGTCAGGTTGCTAATATGAAGACAATTGTGCCTAGAAGGAAAAAAAACACAGAATTTCTGAGCCCATCCGTACTGCCTGCACCCTGGGGCCTCCGCCTGCATCTGCAGAGCCTGGGAAGGGAGGCCTCCGAGAAGACTGTCTCCAGTTTGCTTCCCAGGCAGAACTGTGCCATGTTTGGGAGATGCCAGGGCCCACAGGGCCCGTTCTGGGCTTCGCTTCTCTGTGCAGCTCTGGCCCCAAGTGCTCTCCAGGTCACCTGTCCTCATCCCGGGGCGCTTCAGAGAATCTCAGGACTGGGTTCCACCCGCTCCAGAGTAAGAAGCATGCACGCATCCACCTGCCTCACACGCTATTGGGTACGGCTTTGAAGGGGTCAGAAATTCCCCAAAACCTATTCAATAGGGTATTGTGGTGCAGTGAGTTCCCCACCAGGCTCCTTAGGGCATTTGTACTCTGCCTAAACCCTGAAGGCTGAGCAGCGAGCCAAGGCCACAGTGCCCGGCGGAGGAGCAGGCATCCCAAGAACCCTGAGCCAACCCGAGAGCCCCCCAGGAGAGCAGTACCATTGCTTACGGTGGCAACAAGGTGGGGAGCCCATGTGGAAGCAGCTTGGAGGCTGCGGATCTTAGCGCTGTCCCCAGGCCGCCCAGGAAGCCAGGGAGCCTGTGTGGAAACAGCGGGGGCAGTGCTGCCCCAGGCCACCCAGGCAGGGCGTTTCCCCGCCATTCTTTCATCTCTTGCTCCCTCCCAGTTGGGGCCAGGGCCAGGGATGGAGGAAACTGAATCCCAAAATTTCTCTCGTAACAAGGATTCATTAATTGTCTTCTTCTGCGTAACAGATGGCCATAGGCACAGTGGCTTGAAACGACTCCATTGGCCGCCTCACAGTGTCTGTGGGTTGGGACGCGGTGTGGCCAGGCTGGGCCCTCCTGTCCCTGTGTGACAGTGGGTGTGCTGCCGCAGTCCCGGCCCTGGGAGCCAAAGATGGGCCCAGCCAGAGGCCACTTGCACTTGGAGAAGGGCAGCAGCAGCCAGAGCTATGAATGGCTCTAGAAGGGGCTGTGCCAGCCGCTGTCTCAAACGTGGTCCATGAGGATGGGCTGGGACCCCTCTTGGATGCCCCTTGGGGGCTGCTGGGCCCAGCCTTGTATTTGGACATTAAAGGCAAAGGAAATGCCAGCCAGTCAAGCCACCTCTACCATTCTTCCTCTTCGGGAATGGCTGGGGTTGAAGGCAGTGCTCGCGTTCACATCCCTTTCTCCATGTCTGATTTGTCACAGATCCAACAGCGTCTTCGTTCTTCCTCTGAAAATCCCTCTCATTATTGCAAGGAATTCCTGCACATTACTCAGTCCTTCAATTTAACTTGGCATGGCATTTAGATAATTCTAACCTCCACCCTCACTCCTGATGAAAAGGAGTGCTTCTGGCTCTCAGCTGATAGACACACAGACCAACTCCATAATCAAGCCCCTATTCAAAATCCAGTGGCCAGTGATGCAGTTCCCTGTACAGACCCAGACTGCATTCACCAACAGGGAGACGGTGGCACGGGAGCATCGTCATCTTAGACGAGCATCACCATTTCAAGTTCTCCTTGATTAGAAACTGCCTAAATCCAGCCCCGAAACATCAGCCCAATGGCTGTGAACATGACCATAAATCACAAATGACACCTCTGACCAGAGACACACGAACCCCAATATAGCCTTCCCCCTGACCAGAGACATTCCAATCTTGCAATAAAACTCTCCTCCACGAATAAACTTTCCTAGCCTGCAATAAGCTCCCCTCCCAGAACTCTTAAACACCTTTAGTCTGTAAGAGAAAAGGCTCCCGACCAAAAAATATCAGCCAGAAGCCCCTCTTAGGTTTATTCTCAAAAATAAACCTGTCTTTGACCATTGAGTTCTTTTCGTGTTTCTTTCTTCTTTCTTCAACTCGTACAGTGTCTATCACGATTATTGTCATGGTTTCATATTCCACATTGCAACCAACCTTTAAGAAACTAATTTATTGAGTTTTGCTATTGCATAAAAAAATTCATATTTATTTGAGAACGCTATTAACATACTCCCCTTTCCCATTCTGTTAAACATTTGCTAAATAATGGGAAAGTTGTTTGCTGTTAAAAAGTATTTTTTCTCTGAAATGTGTTATTTATGTTAACCTATAAGCTTATTTATCTTAAATGAATTAATACATAATGTTTAAGTTTCTGCTTTTGATTCCAGGGTGGAGCGTGCTGGGGGTCTCCCCAGGGCTCTTCAGAACGAGGGATCCTGAAGCCAGAAGTCCAGGAACCGTGCTGTGCACCGTTTGGCACAACACTAGCCAGCGCCCCTTGCAGAAATCCTCATCCAGGCCTGCAGCAGGAAAGACATGGCGTGAGTGGAGATGTCCATTATTCCCAGAGGCAAGTAAGCCCCAAACTTCGACACTTGTCAGTGATAGGGAAGGCAGCATAAAGCCTCCCAGGTGTGAGCCCTGGCTGATTTCAGCCTCAATGCGAACAAGGACATTAACAGAGGATGACTCATTACAAAGGGCAGCGTAATGCACGGTGCATCGTCCAGAGCACCAGGGCGAGGGTGGGGAAGGTTGGGAGGAGAAAGCTCTACTTCTCACAAAAAAAGTAGGGCAAGCATAGAGATGACAATTAGAAAAAAATGCGTTGTTGTTCCCAAGGGAATAACCGAACCCGACAAGAATGATCTGGATGCTAAAATCACTGGGTCACATATTTTGGGGAAGGAGAAAATCCCGAAGCTCCCCTTACCCCGCAGGTGACTTGCAGATTTCAAAGGGGAAGAGCAGCTTTGCAGGGGGGATTC